ATTTATATTTAATATATTTTTTAAACATAGAATTTTATTAAGAAACATTAAATATAAATATTTTACCAATAAAAACCAATTCAATTGAAAACTAGTCTATTTATTTAAATAGCCTGGCTTATACATTTAAATATTTTATATATTTTTAATTCATAAACAAAAATATCGAATCGAAAAGCAACGAGCAATACAAATGCTCTCAAGTCAATAGAATATAATAAGACTTCTTGATAGCCCAAACACTTTCCTGTACACGCAAAGAAATTTTCTAAATGTTTGTACTTATTTACTATAAACAAAAACGTAGCTTAGAGATTGGTAATAAATTCGAAAAAATATAAGATTACATTATCCTAATCTTTTGTTTCAGTCGTGTAGCCCTATTGAATTATTGTATCATTTAATATTATATTTAAATATTTTGCTCTATCTTCAACTCCCTCCCATAACAGATAAACCAAAGCCCTAATTTTAGCTTTGGGCTATATAGCAATACCTCAGTAGTCTACGCATGCCTCCTAACACCTCTCATCCAAACAAACTCGGTCATTTGTGTTTGCGTATCCCTTTCACACATTAACACCCTTGACTAGCGAAATGGCCTGCGGGGTGTTTGCATAGAGTGTTTGTTTATCAGCCTTTGGATTTTGTGCAGTCAGCTTTGGGCCGCTTTCACACGTCGAGAGATTGCCTTTGCATATAGCTAATTGACAGTCGAGCTACAGATGGTATTTCTGAGAGGTTTGTTAGACAGTTTTAGACTTTAGCGTTATTTTCCTAAATAGAAGCAAGATGTGATTACATATATTAAAGAAATTAAATCTTTCACATAATTACAATAATTTCCCTCTTTTTTTCCTGCATCTTTTGTAGTAATTTCTTAAAGTAAAGAACTAAATTTCTATTGCCTAATTTCAGTTGCTTCTGACTGATTTAATGTCTAGGCTTGATGTAAGTTTTTGTTTAGTGCTCGACTGATGAATCCAGCTGTGCTGGCCCGTAACGCTGTGAACTTGCTCACCTGTCGACTCAAAGGAAAGCAAGAAGAAACAGAGAAAAAAGAAAAGAGACTGGTAATAGAGGTGGCTCAGCGCAAAAGCACAGGAAATATACACAAAGTTATTTAATATGAAAATGGCGTGCAGCTGAAATTTTATTTGAGCTATGCTTCTGACTGGCTTGGCTCGGTTGGTCTTAAGCGATTTATTTTCGACAACATTATTCGCTTAAAGAAACATGGAAATTAAATGTGATTTCGTACAGAATTTGACGGACGGTGCTTATAGAAGGGCGATTTTAATATAGTCAAATAATTCCCTACTGTGTTTTTTTTTTTTTTTTCTTTTTTTTCATGGAGAAAATCTATTTAAATCGTGAGCTACTGAAGAGTTTGAAAAGGATCAAAGTATTTAAATAACTTAGAATTTAAGTGTTAAATTTACGTGCATCAAGCTAATTTATACTCGTCCACGAACGTGAAATGCGTATATTGGCGTTGATCAACAGCTCCTTGCTGCCCGTCCGACATATAATACATTTTTTTATCTCTTATATTTTAGTATAAATTAGCATATTACAGTCATATATAAATGATTTTTTACTTTATGTATGAAAGAAAATTCTGCCTTTATCTCGACTCTACATAGTCACTCGCCATCAATTTAATTGGTAATCAAATTAAAGCAGCTACGCACATTTTTTACTGCGGTTATCCTTTCATATTTTGTTGTTTGTGCTCTCGAGCACTTTTTAATAATTTAATCCACTGCAATTGAGCGGCACGGTGTGCTTGGGCCGATTTATTGAAAATAAAAACAATATACACAAAAAGAACAACAACGACAGCAACAACAACACAAAATAAACAAGCGAGGCCTAAGAGTGTGGAAAATAAGAGAAGCAAATATTTTTGCACAAACATTGATTGGCAATTGGCAGGGAACACGGATGCCGACGATATGACGCGAAAGCCTCTCAAATAATATATGTGTGGGTGTGTGTGTGGGTGTATGTAAATGCATACACAAACATAAAGAGATCCTCCCACACACACACACACACACACACACACAACCATCGACGGCACTTGTGATGAATAACCGACGAACGCTTCGAGTGCGAGTACAAAAATGAAAATTCATTGAAAACTGATAGCGTGTGAAAAATAAACGAAATGCGCAATCTGAAAACAAAATATGAGGTGCGAGTGATTGAGCTGTGATGTTTGCGATGATGCGCTACACAGGAATTATATCAAATTACAATAGTGCGTATACTCGTTTTTGGAGAACTGTTTATAATTATAAAAACCTAATTTTGGATATATTGAAAGATTTCTTCTGCTTAGAAAGCAATAACTCGCTCTTTTGTTAATATACAAAATTTTAAATTGGTGCTAATTTTAAATTTACGATTTTATAATATTATTTGATATGAATGTCATTCAATAAAATAATAAAATATTGTTTAATAAATAAAACAAAATAAATATAATAAGAAAGTATAAATATAAAGAAACTTATTAAAACATTTTTATTATTTTTTGAAAAGATTTAAAAAAAAAATAAATAAATATAAAAAAAAT